ATATTTAATCAGATATATGGGTTTTGCAAAGCTTCTGATTTCAAAATCTCTTCTTCGGTGAATCTGAGTTTCGGTGATTGCAAAATTTTAAAATGCACTCAGATATTTTAAAAATGAATATTACTGCTTCAGAGACACAGAATCCTGTTACTGTTACAAATGTACGAATTACGAGTATAAACATTATCACCGCATTTATCCAAAAAAAAAAAAAAAAAAAAAAAAAGCGCCTTTAACTTGTGGAAGATCAAGCGGAATTTCATCGACTTATCGCAAGACCAAACGATATATGTAAATAAAACTTTCTAAAAATTGCTTGGAAGAAAATCATGAAGTGTATGACTCAGCCCCATTTTACCCATAAATAGCTTCATATGGTCTTTTTACTTTTATCTTGAAGCTAAAAAAAGAACACAGAAAGTGGAAGTGAGACAAAAATAGCAACTATAAGCGTTTTAATGCGATTTATAGGAAAATTGAAAGAACACGTGTTCAGAGCATAGCAAGGCCATTGGAACAATATTATTTCGCTCCGGGGATAATCGAAGTGCCAACGCATCAAATTAAATATATTTATAGCTTGTGCTACTCGTGAAAATTTATAGTGGATACTCTTGTAAGCTTTTTTAATAAAAGTTCTAAAGCGAAGCTGAAATTTTTTATTTAAATGTAAAAAAAAAAATATACAGAATATAGATTTATTCTTCAATTATTTCAGAATTTCTTTTCAGTATTCTTGTCCCTCTGTCGTATTTTAAATTATTTTTAGCACGATTCCTTCATTTGTTATTATAATTTCAGCTGGTAATTGATTAACACGTGTGCGTGATAAACGCTTCGAAGAACGAACTGGGTGTTTATAATCGAAATAATTTCTATCGAGTTTTATACAAAGTGCGTGCACCGAATGAATAATTTTCACGCGATTTAAAAAAGCAAGGAAAAAGACGTTAAAACGTTAATAGCTGCTATAGTAGAATAAAATCCCAAGCAAGATATTGTCTGTAGCAAGCAAAGAATCTCTTATATTCACAAGTTTTTTTCACTACGTTGCGTTTTGTCCAAGTGTTTCATGTGCCATCTTCAATTATCTTATGGAAAAATAACATATGTATGCAGTATCCCACATTTAAATATAAATAAATTAATTTTTAATTCACTTATAAGGTATTTTCCCCTTCTTCCAGCATGCCATCGCGGTGTAACTGTAGGACTCTAGGTGTAACGGTAGCATGATCACTTCAAGAGCTCCAGGTTCGAGTCTTGGTGAGGGCACTGCTCATTTTTCACGTCTTGTGCATCAAAAAAACCTAATAACCTTACAGTAGTGCTTGAACTAAAAGAGGTGAACAAAAATTCGTTACCATCAGGATTTGGCGTCTGGGTCCCCTAATCGCCAGTCGCCCTTTAAAAGGGGGAGAATATAAGGTATTTTCCCCCTCCTTTCAGCATGTATTCGTGATGTAACCGTAGTACGATCGCCGCGTATTCGGAAAGTACAGGTTCGAATCTTGGTGAGGGCATTGCTCATTTTTCACATTAAAAAAAATCACTAATTACTCTGTAACACTTTCCCTTTCAAACAATAAATAATGTTCGTTTAAATTCATGTCAACCAACAAATCACAGTATTTTTTAAAGGTAATTGTTCTGCATAGCTCCAACTTCGAAAATTTCTTCAAAAATGGCTATTATGCCAGCACGTGTTTCTTCAGAGATATTCTCCACAAATAATATAAAAACAGTTTTTAATTAATCATTTGGGGAAGGAATATTCCCGTATACATTGCTCTTCATGGATCTTCACAGAAGATTCATATCTAGCGAGTAGGCATATAGCTCTAATGGGCTTAGCCATTATAAAATAAACCAAACCAATATACATCTGGCGAGTAGACAGCCAGGATCCCTCCCAGTCATCGAATTGCTTAAGTCAACGACCGGAGAGTATTCTGCACGAAATGTTCATTCAGGTAATTCAAGTAGAAAGCCATTCGCTGAATGTGTCTTTTTCTTCCTTGCCGGGTTATTTGATGGACACTGAGCACTTTTATTTTCTAGTTTTATGAATGAATCACAAGCCTTTTAAATTAAAAAACTGAAAAATGAGAATTTTGATGAGTGTTGCATTTCAATCATGGATCCCTGGATTATTTGGATTATGGCGAAACATGTGAAGGATATTTGTCTAAAGAAAGGGATACTTCTTCGAGGACTTTTTAAGGGAAACGTTCTCCTAACAAATATCTCGAACCCCAGGACATAAGATGATACCAGGCATCATTAATATAAGTCAATGTGTGATTTAATTATTAATGAGTTTATATTGAAAAAATGCTGAGTCTTTTTGAGTTGATCCTACAAACCACTTTCATCATTAGTAAATATAATTACAGAGCTCTATCTATTACTTGTCTTCGAAAAAGGTGAAACAAGTGTTGTGTTTTTGTTGTTCTTTGTTGTACTATTAAGCCCTCGATTGTCTAACGAATCGAATAAGCAAACGCGTTAAACTAGGGTACTTTTTCTGGAAGGAGCCTAGCCCACCTAACCGTTATCTCGATTTACTTGGTTATGAATTGCATGGGAATGAGAATAGAAAAATTAAAAAGTAGAGAGTAAATCTAACTTCAAAGTAGTATTGTAGAGTCATTAGGTTATTTTAAAGCAGAAGACGTGAAAAATGTGCAATGCCCTCTCCGAGATTCGAACACGAACCTCTCGAATACGTGCCGAGTTTGCTACCGTTACAGCACGAAGACATGCTGGAAGGAGAGGGAAAATATCTTATATAGACTCCTTTTTAAAGGGCGACTGGGGATTAGGAGAACCAGCCGTCAAATCTCGGTGGTGACGAATTATTGTCCACCCTTTTAGTCGGACGCCATTGTAGAGTCATTAAAATCATCGGTGTCGGGAAGATGAAAAATGTGTAGTGCCCTCGCCGGGACTCGAATCTGGACCTCTCGAATACGCGCCGAGTGTGCTTACCGTTATACCACGAAGGCATGCTGGAAGGAGTGAGAAAATACCTTATAGTATACACATTTGGAGATCTGGCAATAAGATTAAGCTAAGAAAAAACGAAAATATATAATAAATAAGTAGGACTGAACGAAGGAGGATCCATTATTGTATTGTATTTTACAGCATAACTCAAAACTTTCGCAACAAAGCAGTAAAATTAAACAAAAACATCATTGCACACAATGTTTCGAGCAAAAACAACATTAAATATTGTTAAATATATGCAATATGAAAATTTAAAACAATAATGCATAAAACGTAATGATAAATTCAGTCACATTTAATACTAAAGAATGCATTCCAACCTGATGCGATAAGCGCTTCGCATGCAGATACTGACAAACTTGGCATCTGTTTCACATTGAAGAAAGGCAGGAGGGAAGAGGTTTTTGGTATATCTTGTAAGATTAGCTGAATGCGTCCGTACATTTCCTTCCTCTCTTTGCCTTTGTAATATGAGATTAATTCTATGCGTATACTTTCATTAAAAATGCATGAGTTAACGTGGTTTTTATTTTAAATAAAACTTTTTAGAAACGTTATAACAGTGAAATTGAGGGACATCTTTATCAATTTTAAACTTCTGTGTGATCCATGTACAGTAAAACAGTAAAGAAAATATTCGTTATGTTGCAAAAGGTAACTAAAATAATTTCTAGATAGATAGATAGATGTACCTTATAAAAATTTTCATCTTTCCTGCTGCGAGTTTTTGTTGTGTTATTAGTAGCACGTCCATTTAGCAATCGGAAGCTCTAGAAAAATCTGCAAAAGATGCGACTGAATTTAATGGGTTCAAACATTTTTAGTAACTTTGCAAAACTTAATAACTCAAAATTCGTTCAAAAGTTTTAATATCTCAACTGAAATATCATGAGCGATAATTCGTTACCATTTGGATTTGACGACTGGGCCTTCTGCCCAGTAACTCTTTTAACTGCACGGAGAGTGCGATGAACTTTTGCCTTCTTTACTGTGTGCTTTTATGGTGCGGTAGTACATCCGCTGGCCATCGGAAAGGCTGGATTTTGAATCCGAAAATGAAATACACTGAAGTGACAAAAGTCATGGGATACCTCCTAATATTTTTTCGGTCCTCCTTTTGCCCGGCGAAGTGCAGCAACTCGACGTGGCATGGACTCAACAAGTCGTTGGAAGTCCCCTGCAGGAATATTGAGCCATGCTGCCTCTATAGACGTCCATACAATTATGGACATTATTTATTATTAATTACATTTATGGTTACACATATTATGGACATTTATGGTTTATTGTCACAAATAAACCATAAATGTCCATTTATTTGTAAGGATTATGTTAATTTTATTAACAGTTAAATTTTGAGTTAAACTTCCTTTCCTATCGATTCTTAATTTCAACTTACCACTTCCGACCAGAACGTCGTTTTAGAATCACTTCTGAATGCTAATGAGGAAGAGCGGTATTTAACCGCGAAGTTCTACTGTCTTAGAGAGAGATATATCAGATATTCTGGCTGCACGCGTCCGTCTTTTTAGGCTACTCTCTCGAAAGCTATTATTACGCTCGGTCGTACTTTAGGCCCTTGATAGCTTCGCAGTCAATTAGCGTTCAGGGGCCAACTCTGTTAGAATGTTGATAGCTTCGGCTATATCTCTTTAGTAAGATTAGTTTAGTTTGATTCTTAATCTCTTAAGTTCAAGCCCGAGTGTCGGCTTTATTGTACAACTCCAAGACGGAGTTCTGTTACACTTGATTGGAATAATAAAGGGTTATTTTACCCTTCTATCTTGTTGTTTCCTGTTACACGAACTCAAGCGATTATTCGCTTACTAGTTCTTAAGATTCTTCACTTTTAACTGTAACTTAGAATTACACAGTGATATATATATCGATTTATACTTTCCTTTACAATAATGTCTGAAAATATAAAAGTTTCAGCTACAGTCATATGAGACTAAACTAGCAATTTTCTTTTTGCGTCTGTCTGACAGGTCCAAGAATCAACGGTGCCCTCAGAGAGTCGGCGGGAGCGGATGTTGAAAAGGCTTTCTTACCCCATGGAATCGATTACCTCCATCTCGCGTATCCTCACCTCCTCGCCCAAGTCCTTCGTTGACTTTTCGGGATCCCTCTTCTCTGGCCGAGGATCCGAGGAGGAAACCAAAGAGGAACAGTTGCCGGAAGGAACGGAGGAGAAAGGAACAGCAACCATCGGATACCAAAACCTGGTAGAGGAGAAACCGGAGATCTTTGAGACGCTTGACAGTGAGTAAATCTATTTATCTTTAGTTGTCTCCCAAACATGTTTGTGACTAGTGCACATCTTGTGACTGATCAACCATGCTTCCAAAATAAAGAAGTATGCTAAATTAAATGATCTCTCTAGTTTGCAGGTAAGAAAGGACAAAGAAAATTACATATTATTAAAAAATGAGCAAATATTTTGCCAGTGAACAAAAACTTTAAAAATAATGTCTTTGAACGTTTATCAATGAATGAGGTATAATATTCTATTTTAAACAGGTTTTATTTACAATATAACAGAATTTGCCTAGACTTGCACAGTTTCTTCTGGAAGAAAAAATCCGTTACTCTTTTTCGGGGATAGACGGGTAATTATTTTAGATAATGAAGCAAGACTTTTCTAAAGGAAGCCTTAAAATCTTAAAAAGGCTTTTGTTTCCCCACACTTTAATTTTTACAATTTCCCTGTTATCTATATTTTCTCCTTTAGTTTTAATAACCTCAAAATCAGGCTTAAGACCATACTTAAGTCCGACAAAGTCACCACTGACAACCTGCCTAAATTTAGAAAGAAGATAAATTATATACCCTGAAAAAGGGAAACATTTCAATTGATCATCAGTACAATTTGCGTCTATAATGGTAAAAGACCAACAACATGTTTTTAGAGGGTTTCCTGGATGTCAGTTTCCTTAGCTCGGAACAAACCACACGCATTCCACTGCAGAACGTTGTAATCCAAGGATATATGGCGGGAGGACAGCCCCCAGACGGTATAGAGGTTAGAGGAGGTAAACCGCTGAGTTGGCTTCCGACCCAGGTATAGATATATCCATGCCGAATTGGTTACCAATTCGGCGGGAGTCAATCACTAGCTACCAGGCCGCAGCCCTGGGCAGCCCCGGCTGAACAGACGACATTTATAAAATGCAAAAAAGAGATATACATATGCATACAAGGCACTTGAAGATGTTAGAGGAGCCTACTGCGGTACCCAAGGGCCGCGTTTGAATCCCGGAGAAGGCATGGTTGTAATTGTCCGTCCCTTCATAGGAGGTAATGGTGCCATACCGTTGATACTTTGTTGGTTATTCTGGCGTGCAGTGAGGGATGGTCTACTCCTGCTCTTCCCAGATTTTTGAATGAGCCCCTCAGGGTCCTGGCGTGTGTAAAAATCCAAAGATAAAGCTTTTCCATTTGAGATGGCCTACATATCAGGTGCTTCCATAATAAAGGCTTAGGCTTGGTCATTACTAAGGCCACGTCCAGCCTTAGTAATGGCCAAGCCTAAGTCGGCTCTGTGCCTATCAGTGGAGGGGGAAGTGTCGGGAAGAGCCGAGATAAGAAGCAGTAAAAGATCGCGTGACAAAATTGTAATTCACTTTGCCATCAAGGACGTTGCGCAGGATGCACCACGAGGAGGTTGAACAACTTTGGACTTCTAGACACAAATGTAATATTTCTGCAACAGTTCTTCTCACAATAGGTAATAATTGTCGAAATTGAAAGCATGGTCGTAGTAGTATTACAATTTTTGGAATTGCGTTCTGAAGACGGTATTTTTGGAATAAACTGAGAAAATCCAAAGCCATTGTTCTTCCATTTCTTTATTTCGTCTTCCCGAGCAGTAACAGAAAAACTCCGAGGAAGTTCTTTCTCCGAGAGTGTATTCATTATTTATCTCACTATCATCATAATTTAATCAAAATATGTGAAGTGTGTATTTTTAATTGAAACATTTCGATGGAGTAAGGAAGGTACTACAAGCTAATTCAGAAGTCAAACAACAAAAAGGTTTTTTTTTTTTTTTTTTGTTTGTTTGACTTCTGAATTAGTATTTATTCGGCGTGTTATTGTGTCTTAGTACTACAAGCTGTTGAAGTCTCTTCGTTATTTCTTTAAATATTCTAGCCAGTGTAAAAGCAATTCCGTCTTCAATTTTATTTCGTGCAGTAATTAGGCATATCGCGGTTCTTCCCCTCCTTAGTGCTTAAGCGAATAAGATTGTTTGCATGACAATTTTCATAGTTTATCGTATGTGTACCAGAGCGTATGTAATGCCGTATCCACGCAACATGATATGAATCAGTGTCCTTTCGTGAATATGAGACAGTACCAAGTTTTTAAGCTTTTGGTGGGGAAATTAGTCCTCTAGGAAGACATAACTTCTCCTTGTAATGTCATTAGATTTATCTCAGCATGAAACATCACCCACTCTCTCACCAGGATTCCAACTCCGGACCTTCCGATCGCTGGCCGGAAGTGTTTCCATTTATGCCCTGAAGGTACACAATAAGGAAGAAGAAAATTCCTTACGCCTTACACAGCTAACTGTAGAGAACTTTACTATAATGCAATAAATCCTAATTCTTATTTCTGCTCTACACATCTATATGATTAACCCACACAATATAATACGCTCCACATGAAATATGTTACTCAAAAATCGTGATGCCCGGGCGGATTGCCCTCTCCTAATTCATATTATTTACCTCTTGATTGACTTTTGAGACAAACCTGCTTAAAATTTAAAATGTTACAAATATTGACAACTCTTAATTTGTATGAGTAATTTAAATAAGTAGCGACTTCATTCAAGAATCTCTTCTCATAGTATTTATTTCCTTTCAGAGCTCCTTCAGAAAAAGCCTGGAGAAGAAGCGGAAGGCCCTCCTCTTTACCTTTGCCTGAGGATGGGTATTCCAAAAGAGCGTAAACCTCAAGCGTCACCGGTTCTGTCCTATGGAAAGAAACGAGCAAGATCAGAATATTGGTTTTCTATACCACACAGCAGGTTTGTTTAAAATTTCAATGCTACTTGCTTTCTCAACATTGTAGAGACATTAGGATTTTTGCAAGCAAAAGTGATGGAAAATTAGAAAACCGCATTAGCCGGGAATCGAACCACGGACCTCTGGAATACCGGCCCAGCGTGCAGAACCACTACACCATGAAGGCACGCCAAGAAGGTGGGAGAAATACCTTATAACATTATGCCTACTTTGAATAGTTAGCAGCAAATATACTATAAAATGCATGGAGAGTGTTTATTATACGATATTATTCACTGAAAATAGGCTTTGGAAGCTGATACTTAACCAACGTAACTCTGACTAAATAGATGAACAGAGATCCAGAACTGTGCAGCTCGTATGAGTTCAGCAGTCGGACACATACCACTAGAGTAATGGAAGCGAAGAGCCTAACCTGAGTTGCTTATGAGAAAACACTGCGAGTCTACGATCTTATATGCCAGTAGGAGACCGTGCATTTGTACCGTACCATTTGGTAATTGCACGTACGATTTGTTCAGATAGTATGCAATAGGACCTCTAATACATCTTTAAAAGTCTCCTTAGGTGAATGCTAAGCGCATATTTGTTTTGATGGTCTTCACCAATTCCCCCTCTATTTTGCCTCTTTTAACAGAACAATGCGCAACCACATAAATCTACAGTAGCTAAATTATGGTTAAAGGAACAGAACAGGACGCTAGAGAAGGATCCCCGTCCTGATACTCGCCTTATCGGGTTTGAGATATCCAAACTACAGAGACCCCTCAACGGCGGCGCACACCCCACAGTCCCTGCTCGGCTTTATGGATAGTCTCAGCAAGGACGAAAACTTAATACAAAAATGGGTCGCTGTGACATCTTTGCCTCGGTGCGCCACTCCCTCAGCATCCAATAAATGCTTTCTCGGTGCCTTTCTTTCCTCTGTCAGTCCCCGTCACTGGGACTCTGAAGGCCAACCCCCATCGAAAAAGGTCAAAGCTACGTACGATATAGCTCCACCACAGCCAGAGGAACAGACACGACAGAACCAGTACGGTCGCTGCCAAGCCTGAATCAACCTGAGAATAAACTCGGGTCTAGTACTGTGAAGACAAATTATACATCGCTGTGGTTGTGACTGCCTAGGTACAGATCCTAGACAGTGCTTTCCAGGAATTCTCCTGAGCCAACCCCCGTGGGGGGTTTAAAGGAACATTCATCTGACTTTGGAGTCTTGCCAAGACCACTAAATTCAACAGATTTCAGTGTCATCTGACACATTTGAGATGACATGCAATGGCGCTCTGAAACACAGAAGTCCTACTCCTTCGATGATATTACAGTTATGAACCTCATTGCAGGAAGTATGATAGTCATGACTATCGATTCCGTTAGATTCTTCTTTTTATATGCTCACAGGGAGGACAACTATATTAAGCCTCAAGTATCGATATTTTGCACTTCAGTATAAAGCCATCTTCCTTTGAAATTCCTTTTATCAAGATACGTTTTCAAATGCTGAAAACTCTAGAAAGTCCATTAACTTCTTATTATCAGGTTAAGGTTTTTATTTGACAACCTTTGTTTAAATACTATAGCTCATGCATCCGTTTAATGTTGCAACCAATTGCAAAATTTAATACTTTTATTTACGGAATATTCTAGATGCTATTGAATCACTATAAACATAGCACTAAATGACACTTTCACAGTACATTATTATGGCCATGAAATAAATCTCTCTTTTCCTGTATCTGTTTTCATTTCAAATTTCAGGTACAGGTTAATTATTTGTATTACTTTAAACGTTTTAAAACATACTGCTATAATTTTTACCTGTTCAGTTAGGCGAAATTATTTTAACATAAATATTTATCTTCCTAATTAACATGGAATTTAAGACATATTTTTCCCTCATCCACTTTATTATTCTGATATTATTATTAAATTTAGGATATTATTATGAATTCAGATTACTCAAACTTAAGTGCAGATGTTTTATTAAAAACAAAATATTATACTCCTTTCAAAATTTATTCCATTCTTAGTGAGCAGAATAATAATTCCATTTTAAATATAGCATGCTCGGTTTATATGTTTAAAAAAAGAAATTATGATATCTTTCGAACACCGCACAATTTATTAGAGATTGCGATAAGCATTATTTTAAATAAAAAATCTAAGAAACAATTTTTACATGTCGAATACCTTCCAATATAAAGTCTCGGTTCTTGTTGAGAATCCTTTGTGGTGTTTTGTGGTTTGCAACACAATGCAAGGAGTACGCTCAGAAATAGAATAGATTTTCTTTTGTGAGATAGGAGAGCTAATTCTTATCTCACAAAGGAAGCATTAGAATGAGCTGCATTTGATGATCTGCAGTTATGCAATGAGCACTGATTTTCTACCAGTCCGTCTTGAAAAGGTATTTTCATCCAAAAATGTTTGGACATCGTTTGGCAAAGTGAGGGCATAAAGAATTATGTTATTCTTCCTTTAGCGAGAATTCTATGTATGTACTGCAATTTTCCTTCTGTTGCTTTCAAGAAACCAGTCTTAGTTTCCTAAGTATATTTTTATTTAAGCAGTGTATTTTGACGTAATTGCCTCATAAGTGAACAATTTATTTTTCTAGGGTGGAAGACTTGTATAACTTCTTACAACAATGGATTCCAAGCCTTTATGGTGACGTGGATGATGTAGATCCAGACGAGGCCGGATTCATTCCCATTGATGATTCCTTGCCAGATGACGAAGAAGAGGAAGAACAGGGGGTTGATGTGGAAGAAGGAGGCGAAAGAGAAGCTCCGAGGTCCTTCCTCAAGCTGGTGGAGGAACACTTTGGTTTCAAGAGTATAAGTCCTGGTGACTGGGAGGTAAGAAAAAGATTTTATTATTGCAAGTCTTTAATTCTTTTAGCTAGTGGCAGAGTTTTGGCTATGTATATTTGAGAATATACCTATTAAAGAACTGATTTTATTGGATATTTCATTCAACATGAGGTAAACAATGACATGCGACGGAGGACGTGGGCACCACCCCTCTACCAATACGGTTAATCGGTATAGCGCCACGTCCACCTTTATCTAGATAACCATACGTGTTCATTGTGTTAATATACTAATATATAAACATACATACAAATTTGGTACTTCATACAGTGGCGTTAAAGCTAATTAATGTTAGACACTGGATAATACATTGCCATGTTACAACGTGTATGCAAAAACATGGATACGATAGCATATATACATAACTTGTGTACTCATATGTTGAGTACACTATGACCCTTTGAAGCATTATCTTAGATACAGAAGACATGTACATACTGAAATATTAGGTGCGCAATGTTATGCTGGAATAAGTAATTAGTAGTGAATTAAAAGTTAGACCCTACATTAGTACTGTGTAGTACAGTGTCTTGGTGCAATTAATTTTAGAGTGGGGCTCTAGTTAGTTCTTTGCGATACGGTTGCCGTGTTACAGGATAAAAAGTGCAGATGCATAGTTACATTATCAGAACATAATTCATATACATATATACAGACCATTAGGTACATGATTATTCCGTGCGTAATAGATGTATATTAACTCTACAGTGCCATAATGTGATACACTAGTAGATACATGGGTACAATTACATATATAACAAAGACATACACAATTACATAGACAAAAGCGTATATACGCTTATATTTTGGTACACAATAGTCGTTGGTGACATAAACATTTCGTACTTACTTCATATACTGAAGCTCTAGATCCATAAAATAATGTTATAACTAGTAATAGGTGCTTATTTAATTTCATAATAGGACACTACGTTGATATTTTGCCTTACTGTGTCACGTTACATAGAAATGTATGCGGGTGCATGGGTACAGCTTCCTATTTACAATGCTATACTGTTTTCCTATTTACAATGCTATACCTATTTACAATGCTTATATCATTCGATTTCATAATCAATAGGTACATGACACATTTATATACATGAGCAGATGGTACATTGTAGAGTGCCGTTGAGGATAATTGATGCAATTAATTTTATAGTATTTTAAAAATAATGCATTTATACGCAATTATAGGGTACATAATTGTCATTGGGTACTTATACAATAGGCGCATACTACATATACATATTCATATATTAGTTTCTTAATACATGCTAGGGCAAGTAATTGGTGCTGTTATTTTTACATGTTACATGATGCTGTAGGCGATTGGATGGATAAACTAATATAATATACTAATATACATATACACAACTTTTAGGCACATAATAATCACTAGATTCTCAGACATTAGGTACATGGTATACATATACATATATAAACAGATATTTTCAATACAGTGCTATGGAAAGTAATAAATGCAGTTAATTTTATAGTAAAATTCTAGTTTAACACAATGCGAAACGGCTTCATGTTACACAATGTTAAATATGACGCATGAATACAGTAATATTTCTACTTGTTAATACTATATATATATACAAAAATATACAAATATTAGGTGCATAACTTAACATAAGGATACATAATTATTAGATGCACTATGCATATATAACGTACATAAGATACTTAAGCAACATTAGTACATAAGTATAACACTAGAACAATTCATTGGTGCTGTTAGTTTTAGTGTAAGATACTGGTTTAACGCTATGTGCGCTACAGTGCCATGCTACAGGATGATATGCGCGGAGCCATGGATGCAGTTATATACATACTAAAACACGTATATACAATTATTAGGCACGCAGTAATCATTGGATTTATAAGCATTATATACATGGTACATATACAGACGATACATATATATAAACAAAAATATATATATAATAATATGCTATAGAAGTTAGTTAATGCAATGGGGTTTTTAGAATTAAGACTTTAGATTAACACTATGCGGTAAAGTGTCATGTTGCGTGATGTTATATTCGGATGCATGGTTACATTATCATATATACGAGGATATATATACATATTATTAGGCACATAGTAATCATTGGGCTCACAATCTTAATGCCTTAGTCTCGTGGACTTGAAAGTACGTAATAAGGTTCAAATGGTGCTATTAATTTGATGATGCTAAATAATATTAATACAATAATGCAGCAATGATTAATGCAGCATAACTAGTTAATGATCAATACAGTAACATTTATACTAGAACATATATATACAAGTACAAGGCGCATAATTACATTGAGTATAGAATCATTGGGTGCATTATGCATATACATACATAACATATACTACATGGTGATGGTACTTAAATACATTTATAAACAGGTACAGATGGTCCTTATTTACATATTGCGGTACAGATAATAGACATAATTCGTTTGGTTGGCATAATGCAAATTGATTAAATAGTTTATTCTTGCTATATTACTAGGAGTGTTGGACACTCCTTGACGATAATTTACAGTTATTTTTGTGGTGTTTGGTAGTTGGTGCTAGACACCGAATTACTATTCGTCTATATGGCTAAGTATGGCACAGGTCTGTGTTAAGATCGGCCATTTTATCCATTAAAAGCCCTATTTTTCTAACCAGGTGCCTCTGTTTTATCAAAAACTTACAGAAAGCTTGTCGATTGGTCGACGGAAGGTTGATGTGTAGCCCTTCTGTAAGGGGACAGAAGGTTAGATAATGCTCCGGAGAGCCAGTCTGTCCACAGGCGCACTGGCTAGTGTTACTTATCCCGCGTTTGTTAAGTACTCGGGAAATGGTCCCGTGACCCGTAATGTATCTTACCAATTGCATGTTTGCAAAATTTTGGTAGTGTCCACGTAGCTTGACATGGTAATAATCCGTCGGCCGGTATCGCTGTTATCCCATGTCTGCTGCCATTGTCCGATTGCCATTAAGCGTAGTGTTCCTTTTCAGGTAAGATACTGGCCATGGAATGTTGATTTGTTGAGTTGTTGGTCCTGTGGCAGTTTCTTTGGCCTAGATGGTCAGCCAACTCATTGCCATTGTGGCCGGCATGCGCTTTGATCCATTCAATGTCTTGTATGGAGTTGGGAATTTTTTTTTTCGCAGATCTTCCTGGTATTCCCTGAATAATACCGGATCGGTGGTCAGGATTTCCTATTGCGTATAGTGAAGAAAGACTGTCCTGTCTTTATGTAGCGTTGCGGGAGTGGTGGGATGCAGGTAGCGGATTGCTTGCGCAATTGCCACTGCTTCTCCCTGAAAAACGCTATTAAAATTGCCTTAGTTGACCCTTCCATTGATCTAGACTGTATCTTGCAGCATGCCACATAGGCACTCCCACGTTTTCGTCTATCTTCGCCCGTCAGTGAGATAGTATCTGTGCTGGACGGTGGGCTGTAGTTGGATTGGTAATTATGCTTATTCCAGTGCCTTGGCTGCTGGATGGATTTTTCAGGCAGCATTTAGCTTCATAGTCCTTTGGATTAAAATATTCTCCTCAAGGTGACAGGTCTTTTTAAGCTGCACACGATTTGTCTTGCTGACTCCTCTTCACACGGATGTGTAGGAAGAGGCCAGCCAGCACGTTGATCGCGTGTGAGACGTCGTGCGGTGGCCTAGTATACCCATTGCAAAAGGTCTTTGAATGGTAGAAAGGTGTTTAATTTTCCTGCTTTGCATTGGGTGAGCCCATACTCTGCTGCATAGTGACTATCTTTTCCACCACTGTGGTGAAGAGGACCTTCTGAATATGAGGATTGAGGCCCCATTTGTGGCCATGAAATAATCGCATTTGCTTCGCTATGAAAAATCTAATATTAGTTTAGCTTAGATTTTGCCAAACTATCCTACACCAAACTAAACTTCCTACGCCAAACTAAAGTCTCTTTTTTGCTAATTCTTAATTTTACATTGACGTGCTTCTTTCCTAACTGAATGTAATACTTTCTGCAATATTTTTATGCATAACATAAGATTCTTATGCATAACATAAGAAAATCCAATAAAAATCTTCTTAAAATTCTCCAAAGCGAAGTATTCCTATTACAGCTTACATGTTTCTTATTAGTACCTTAGTTAAAATACTTAACAAGCAATCCACACCTTTTTATCTCATTAGTATGTCTGAAATAACCCTTTAATGTATAAGGTATTTTATGCTAAATTAACCAGTTACGATGACTGATCTTTACTTACTGTTCTGGCTTTAGCATCTTGTTAGCCGACGTTTAAAATACACGCCGTCAAATATCTGAGTCCACTTGAGTAATCTCTTAATGTATACTCTTAGACTACATATAAATATTATCTACATTTGAAATCTAACTTTTGTTGTGTTATTATAATATAAATGCCCGCAAGTCGCATCTTTCTATTTATTACTTGGTTATTTTAACCTTCTGTAGACAATGTAATTTGTTTCAGACTAGTTGATGACTCGTTATCAGTCTAGTAGGGTCAGTGAGCTTTTAAACACAGTAGACTGCTACAAGTTATTTTAGGGTTTAATCATATTTCTTCGACACTAAAGCGTACTTTTTCATTTTTGAAAATGTCTTTGGGGGGTGAACCTTACATTTAATGGTGTCATAGAATCGCAAGGATACTGCGAAGTTTCTTTCAATTTAACTCATGGTACTGCTTCAAGGTCAAAATACATGCTTTTTTTAATTTAAAAAAGGTTTCACTATCAGAGCTCGTTTGCCTTAGAAAGCAGCATATTATGGGATGGTGAAGATCTTCCCAAAGGAACAAATTTTCTAATTAAAATGCAGATATCTATCGTTTATAAAGATTACATTATGATATTGATTTCTAAGGAATAAATGAATACTACATTCTTTCGAAAGAAGCGTATAGTTAGAAGCCGAATTTTATTGAGATAAAATATTCATTAATAATATTTTAGGATTGTATTCCTTTATTTGATT